CTCTGTAGGTCGAAAGACCAAGATCAGAGTGCTGGCAGGGTTGTTTCCTTGAGGCCTCTCTCTTTGGTTTGCACATGGCCGCCATCTTGCTGCCTCTTCATTTGGCCTTTCCTGTGTGTGTGTACCCGCATCCCTGGTGTCTCTCTGTATGTCCTAATCTCCTCTTCTTATAAGGAAACCAGTCAGACAGAATTAGAGCCCACCATAATGGCCTCATTTTAACTTAATTACCTTTGTAAAGGCTTTATCTCCAAAAACAATCAGATTCTGAGGTACGGGAGGTTAGGGGGCACACAATTCAGTCCGTAACATCTGCCCAGAAGTGGAAATCTCCTCTCCATACATTCACCCACATCAGTAGCACCAATTTCATCTCTTTGCAGAGGCAGCCCACCCTATTGCCCTCAGAGCCTGCTGCCCAGCTGCTATCCTAGCATCTGCTTTTTCCAGAACCCTAGGAATTCCCATTTTCTCCTTTGAGTAGTCTTTTATAGTCACTCAGTCCTTGGTTTTAGTAAAACACATTTTCCATCAGCTTCCTGAGGATTGTGCATTTTTGAAATCTTTAATTTCTATAAATATCTTTCTTGCTACCTTCTTCCTCGACTGAAATTTTGCCAGGATACAGAATTCTAAGTGGCAAAACATCTTTCTTCAGAATTTTGACAGCATCGTCCCATTGTTCCCTGGCTTCTAGTATTACTGCTGAGAAGTCTGAAAACCTTCTGTTTCTCCATCCTTAGTTTTGAATGTTTTCTTCTTTTTCTCCTCCTCCTCCTCACTTTCATTCTCCTCTTTCTATTGGTCCTTCTCTTTTCTCAATCTTTCTGATTGGCACAAGTTTTTCTAACTATTATTCTGTAATAAGTGGGTCCTCTCAATTTGACAATTTCAGCCTGGAAAATTTGAGTGTATCATATCTTTGATAATATTCTCCTGCACCATCTTCTGGATGTCCTTTTGTAAATTCTAACTATATGGATATCGTTTCTTCTTGACTAATTCTTTAATTTTCTCATGTTTTGACTCCACTTTTCCATTATTTGGTTTATTATTCATTTTATTATTCTTCATTCTTTCAATGTCCTTAGATTTTTCTTCTAAACCTTTCATTTAATTTTTCACTTATTACTCTCTACTTAATTTCCAGGGGCTCTTTTTGGTTCACTGAATGTTTCTTGTTTTGTCTTGAACTGTTTGGTTCTGCAGCCTACAGTGCTTGTTTTATATATGTAGACTCTTCTCATCTTCTCATATTACTCTGAGGATATTTATTATATGTTTTAAAACCTCCTTCTTTTCCCAGAATTGTAAAGTGTTGTTGTGCTTTCTCTTTTCCGTGTGCTTTTTGTTTGTTTGTTCATTTATTCTTTCGTTTTCTTGTTAGGAATTTCCTTAAATGTCCAATGATCCCTACTGTCTGAACATATGCAGGAGTGAAGCACTCGAAAGCTGTTTGGGACCTGAGTGAACATAGGGGCCTTGTTTTCACATGGACTTTACTGTAAGATGATCAGTTTATGATATTGCACTGGGGAACTCCAGACTTTATATCTTTACACACACACACACGTACTTTATTATATATTATACATACATATATATTTATATACATACATTCTCTCTTGAGATGGACCATTTCCCTGGAGAAAATTCCTCCCACTTTGTGTCAGTGGAGACGTGGACCTGGCTGTAAGGGTTCTCAGAGTCATTTGGGAGAAACATCTCACATTCAGTGAGGCGACTTGCTCTTTAATTCCCTTGAATTTTATCTGGACCTTCAGCTGCACCCAGAGTTTCTGAGTGAAGGTCTCCCTGGATCAAGTTCTCCAAATAGTAACCCTCTTTTCCCAGGGTGGGGAAAGTGACTGGCAATGGATATGTGGAGTGGTTCAGGGAATGTAACTGTTTCTCTTACAGACTTTTAATTGCCATTCACATATTTAGTCCTACATATAACCCTACTTGCAGAGGCATCTGGTACTTCTATTTCCTGAGACTTCTGAGGCTCCGTTGCAAAAAGCATACTGCTTCTTTTTTGTTTCCTCTCTCAACTTAAATTTTAACTTCCTTCTGTCTGTTAAGTCAGTTACCATTCATCCATCTGCTTTCTAGGTTCCAAACTTGTTAGTGTTGTCTCATCTATCACCTCCTTTGTCCTTAAGAGTGAAACCTTTTTATTCCTTTCCTGTAAATTTAGTAGAGTGTCAGGAGGAAATGGAATGCATTTGTTTAACTGAAATTAAATTCTCCCCCAAATTCTCATTGTAAAGAGTAAGCTAAAGGCATTATGTATTTATTCTCTAATGTTAAATTCCCCTTGTTACTGTGGGAGATCAAGATTTGGCCACCCTGAAATATATCTCTTTACCTTGATTGTTTTCTCTGAGGGACATTTGACCTCCCCCATTAACTGCCTAAAGAATTTGACATGGTGGCTCCTTCCTGGAACAGATCTTCTATCATGATGGCTGTAATGATAATGTAAAATAGATGTTACAATGGGAGGGGCACCAAGCCCCTTTTATCAAAAAACTCTATCTCTCCCTGACCACATTATCTATAGATGATCCTGTAAAGAATTGTCTTCTTGCCCTCTGAAGTCCCAGACCACTACCCACCCCCAACACCTTCCTGGCCGTTAGCTACAATACTTAAGCAAGCAGCTTAGACAGAGGGACGAGTTGCTCATTTCTCAGTTTCTTCCATGTATACATGTTATTAAACTTGATATTATTTTCTCCTGCTAACCTGTCTTGTTAATTATTTGGCCAGCCATAAGAACCTTAAGGGAAAGGGCAGAGGGGGATTATCCCTCTTCCCCCACATTACACAAAGGCATTATAGATACTGGAGGACTGCAAATATTTTGAAACCAAGCTACCACTTGAGGGGCACAAGATTCACATTTCCATAAGTTAAATAACTGTATAAATACAAGGCAGAATATGTTCAATTCAAATTCACTTATTCAATAAACATGTTTGGAGCACTTAATGTACCAAACCAATTAAGAATCTATTGAAATAATACTTAAGCGAACTGAGGAAAGTCTGGTCTGATTTAAGATAGTAACTGTGGAGAAGGAGAGGAGCAGATGAATTTTTAAAAATATATAGAGAAAAATATTTTACAAATTCTGCAATGATTTATTTGGTCTATGCCCTTGTATTAGTTTGCTAGGGCTGCAGTAACAAAATACCACAAAGTGGGTGGCTTAACTGAAATTTATTGTCTCATAGCCATGGAGGCCAGAAGTCCAAAATCAAGGTGATGGTAGGATTGGTTCCTTCTGAGGGCAGCGAGGAAAGGATGTGCTCCAGGCCTCTCTCCTTGGCTTATAGATGGCTATCTTCAGGTACACATGGCGTTCTCCTTGATATTTGCCACCAAATGTCCCCTTTTTACAAGGACACCACTCATACTGGCTTAAGCCCCCGCTAATGAGCTCATTATAACTGATTATCTCTGTTAAGACCTTTTCACCAAATAAGTTCACATTATGGGGGTTTGGACTTTAACATATGAGTTTTGGAGGGACACAATTCAACCTGTAACAGCCCTCTTCAAACGAAGGATGAGAAAGTTGGTTTAAAAATGAATAAGAAGTTTAGGTAAATTAGAGTGAGGACAACACAAAGCCTGCCACACTCAGGACTTACAGTCCTGAATTAATGTAACAGAGCACAGCGATTAGATGTTCCAGAAAAGGGCAAAACACGTCCCTGAAAGACCCATGCATATTTTGCCTTTTCTCTGGTCACTACAGAAGCCACCAAGGCTCTCAATTGTCTGTGCACCACAGATATATGGTTAGAGACGGACTCATTGGCTTAGAAACACAGGAGGTAACTGTATCTACTCAATATAAGATAAAAAGGCACTTGTTAAAAATAATAGAATTAAAATGCATGTTTTAAAAAAATGGAAGTTACAATTTAGTAAATTATACTGTTTAATCAATTAAAAGTTTACAGGGGGCCAGCCTGGTAGCGCAAGCGGTTAAGTGCGTGTGCTCTGCTGCGGCTGCCCAGAGTTCGCCGGTTCGGATCCTGGGTGTGCACCGACGCACTGGTTGGCAAGCCATGCTGTGGTGGCGTCCCATATAAAGTGGAGGAAGATGGGCACAGATGTTAGCCCAGGGCTACTCTTCCTCAGCAAAAAAAGAGGAGGATTGGCAGATGTTAGCACAGTGCTGATCTTCCTTATAAAAAAAATAAAAAATTATAAGTTTATAGAAATTTAGATCTAAAAAAATACATCATAGAGATCATATAAGCCAAAGGTTACCAAATTAGAAGGTATTTCAAAATCACCTGGGTATCTTTAAAATACACAGATTCCCAATCCCCATCCTATGTATCCTGAATAGAATTTTCACAAATGCATATTTTTTAGAAACTCTCCAACTGAATCTAATGTAGACTGCCTGATCCATCTGCCTTGTTTTTGAGTTGAGGAAATTCAGGTCATTTTAACAAAATTACATAGCATGGGATATATTTAATTAAAAATGGTCTAGCTCTGTTTGTAAATGACTCATTTCATTGTGATCAACAGAAAACCCAAGGATTAGTAGAAACTACTTCAAAACCACTTTTGTTGACACAGTTAATGATGCCACTATTTTTATATTATGGCAAAGACAGTTTAGAGATGTTTGTTTCCCTCTAGTAAAACTTTAAGGTCACCAATATTTAATGTTGACAGATTTAAAAAGATCAAAGTAGGGCCGGCCCTGTGGCTTGGTGGTTAAGTGCGCGCCCTGCGATGCTGGCGGCCCGGGTTCGGATCCCGGGTGCGCATCGAGGCACCACTTCTCTGTCCATCCTGGGGCCGAGTCCCACATACAGCAACTAGAAGGGTGTGCAGCAGTGACATACAACTATCTACTGGGGCTTTGGGGGCAAAAAATAAAAAATAAAAAAAAAAAGATCAAAGTAAAAAACATCTTCTAAAGTGAAAAGAACAGTTTACTAAAAGAGATTTTAGAAACTTACAGATGATGTCCTATCCACTTCACAACGGCTGCTCAGAATAAAACAGGCCTCAGCATCATCCATCCTAAATGCAGACAGAAAAACAAAATAATCACACACTGAAACATCTGTGTATTATCTGAAAACTAGAATTTCAATGCTTAGTTCAATGCACACAATGAACATGTAAACTGAATATCCTTAAGCTTAAATGAAAGTTAGATTTCAGCAGATCTTGACTGTATATGTGAACAAAATAATGGCTGTTGAACTGGCTATATAACTCAATAGTTTATAATGACAGAAGTTAAAAAAAAAGTTAAATTTTATTCTCTCTTTTATGATTATATGTTTTTTCATATATATGCTTTGTTTAAATTAAGGGAGTTGTATTGGCCTTTATTTTATGATTAATTACATTTTAACTGCAATGTCTCAGTTTAACTAAGAGAGACGGAACAAAGCTACTTAGGCTTCAGAAGTCAAATTCTACTATAAATTCATATTTCCTGGAGATAATTCATCATCTTGTTCCAGACCCCTTCCCCTCATGCTAAAGTTCCATATTTCTTAAATTTAGTGATAAACAGTATGTTTCAGTGCTTGGTAAATACTGTTCTCAAAACATATAATGTTTATTTCCAAAACAAGGAAAGATTTATCTTTCTGGTTTTTGTGATAAAATAAATCTTCCTCCCCAAAAATATTTTCTATGGAGAGGAAAGATAAAAGTCTACGGAATTAGACCAAACAAAACTGTTCTCGGAAAATGTTTAGCCATAGTTATTAAGATAATAAGAGCATTGCCTAACATTTTCTAAACATCATCTTTGACCAAAAATCCAAAACTCATGCAACTGACTTTTGTGACTGGCTTGGAGAATCCTACTCCTTGTTTCTTGCATGGAGAATTGTGTTGAAGAATGTATTAGTTAACATTAAATCCCAAATCTTTATATGACACAAGGATAAGAAATGAACACAAAGATGGGGGTCCTGTCATCTAACTTCTTTCTTAACCCAGTTACTAGCCTGTGACCTCTCTCTCGTCCTCATTTCCATCCTTTTTCACTCCTATGGAGGAATGCTTCTTGCAATATGATTGATTTTGCTAAGAAATCATTTTTAATACTATTAATAATAAATGAGTTACGTTAACCCTAGAGAGCACCTAGCTAAGATTCTAACAGCTAATACAAATAGCTTAGATTAATTTATTAGGTAGTAAAAAGCCTTCGTTTATCACACAAATTCATATTGAACATAATATAGGCATTACTAATTCTCAAAATGTGAAGAACTTAACTCTTATACAATAAATTAGGCATATTGATTATCTACCCATTTGAATATAAAGATCCAAATTAAATATATGTGTCTAAGTAACTATTTCTTTAGAGCTCTCAAATAATGAGTACAGATAGAAAATAGCAAACATCTAAAGCTGTGTTTTACCTGAGGTACTAGGAGAATGTGACTTATTATAGAACTGTGGCATGTACAATGACAACATATTTGAAGTATTTAATCACCCAAAATACTAATATATACTCAAAGAAGCTTAATTTTCCAATCATGTACCATTCATTATATCCTGATAGTTTCTACTGACTTTTTGTTTCAGAAGTTATTACATCATTGAAAAAAATCTCAGTTAAATTGACCTATTATATATAAATCAAAAGTAATATCAGAGTTCCTGTTACAAGATATATAGTCATCACTTGCAGGATTAAGCAGCAAAAAGGAGTCTTGGAGTTTTCTTTTATTCTTTTCCATTAACCTCACCCCCTCCCAACGCACACATAGAACATGCATAAATAAACACAAAACATGCACACACACACACATACCCACTAAAAACCCATATACTCAAGACATCCAGAAAAAACAAAACAACAACAAATAAAAAACACTTATGCCATAAAATTCAATGAGGAGACTTTTAAATCTAAAACAGCACACAGGACAACTCAAGGATAAACATGAAGACATGTTCAAAACTTTAAGCAACAGAAAAATCGAGCAAAGCCAACTCTGCTACGGATGTCTTCTGGCTTCTGAAACAACAGATGTTGTTTTGCAGATGTCCTGACTTTCTGGTGTCCATGGTCTAACCAACCCTGCTCTCACTCTGCTCATGTGCAATAAACCCCAGGACCTGTGACAAACGTTTATGACCATGTCATCTTCAAGCCACATGTTCAACAATAAGAGAACAACTACATAGGTTCTGTCACTTTTCTGATTCCTCCAGCCCCCAAGGACTCTCATCTCTGACACCAGGCAACTCAAGTGTTATCTGCCCAGTACATAATACAAACTCTTTAAAATTTAAACCCTAACTCAACTGCTTTGGTATCTCACATATTGTTTAGCCCAAGATTTTTATTTGTGGAATAAAAACGGTATTCAGAGATTTGGAAACTATTCTAACAGCAAGTCTGGATAACTCAGCTCATCCCTGACAGCCTGAGATAATTACAGCACGCCACCTTCCTCATTGTGTTGTGTGGACATGGTCTGCTGAACATCCTAGCACTGAGAAAGAGGAGCAAACACACTGATTTTATATTTTTAACCTTGCAATTTCACCAGCAGTGGTACTAAGGCAAAACTCTGTATTCGAAAATACTAAAACACATCTTACAATGCTGAAATTACTAAAATTTGGAGGAGAGAAAAATATATGAAAGCATGGAAAGATGGAAATAGATAGGAATACCTACTTTGCTCTCAACAGATCCTGATCTTTAAGGGCTGATCCTTGAAGGTAGATAACTCTTTGTGACCACATTGGAATCTGTAGTACCCTTCGAACTTGCACATCCATTTCAGTAGGACACAAAATCACCACGTAATAATCCTATTCAAAACAAAGTCGGCAATGGGATAGAAACAACAATGCTTTGTTTTATGCTACGTAGGTAAATAGAATATATAAGGACATTTTGAAATATGGTAAAATAGAAATGATCTCTTGCTAATAAATAAAATCTTGCATTTAAAACCTATGGATGTATTAAAAAACATGATACTATCCCTCTTCCTGACCTTTTCGAATCTTCTTAGTACCATGGAGAGAAGGTAATTATCACTAGGCATACTTTTCCAGCCTATAAAGTTTTCAGTTATAACTTCAGGCTGACTCTAAAATACACACTGCGTACCAGGCAGAAGTTCTTAACTATCAATTCCTATTTCAAGTTCTTACTTGTAGAATAAAAACTCTGATGGTGATTTATATTGTTTGGTAATATTATTATGAACTGACAATTTTGAAAAATTTCTGATGAATAGCTGAATGGATAAGGATTCATAACAATATTGATAATACTGATGAAGTAAATTAAATAAAAAAGTTTGAGATCAAAATATTTCAAAATACCGGTCCTTTAGAGAAAATACAAAGGTACTCAGTGCTGGAATGATTTAAAACAATTGATCTATAGGAATTCAAATTCTCTGGTAAACATCTACCATTTTGTCACTCTAAAATATATCTAGTGGGAATTTTTGGAGTTTTAAGAATTCCCTATACTGATATTAGATGAAATAAATTACTAAGGATCAAATTTTGAGGGAATCTAATTTTCCCCCAAATGGATTTTCTTTGTGGGTTATAATGAGCAAACCGAAATTATTTCATATGAATAATAAAAAACCCAACAGACAAGCATTGAGTTTCTCCAAAAATGCAAATTAATTAACAGGAAAACAAAAGAATATATCATTTAAGTATCACTTACAAATTAGATTTTTTTTAAATATTAAAAAAAATAGTATTTAAAAAAATCTCCAAAGTATTCATGAAAAAAATATCTTTACTTTTTCTAAGGGAAGAATAATTAGATATACTAAATATGTCTTAATCTCAGATTATCCAATCTCTTGACAAAATTATGGAGGAAATACAAAATCTTCAGGTATCTCTTTGCTGTTTGGACTGGATTAAGCAGGAAGGGAGATGACCTAAATCTAATCTGGCTGAGTACCATGGTAAATGGAGGAAGTATCTGAGGATCTTATCTGCCTAAACAGATGAAGAGATTATTCTGAATTCATGTTCTCCATTCAGCTAGTTATTATCCAGTTTTTGGTCACTTATTGCTACCATAAATAGGACCTAGTTAAACTCTAGGAAACAACAGAAAAAAATGGAACTTCTAGACTTTCACATTTCCATCAGCAACACTTGATAAAATTCTGAAATATTCAAGTGAGCAGATGATATTGAAATGATTTTTTTATTGTTTTATTATATTTTATATTTCCCTGTTTCACAAAAATATCATTTATGCATTACCCAAGGGAGAAAAAAGCCGTCCATTTAATTCAAAGAAAAGCTTTCTTTGTAGCATTAACATAATTCCATCTGTCTTTTAGTGTAGATACAGAAGGAAACTTAAAATAATGTGTATTCCTCCAGCATTTTTTCTATGTTCCTGGTTATATTTGTAGTTCTTCATTTACTCTTTCTAAATTTGAGTGTATAAATAAAAATCCTCCAGAATGCAGGCTGCACCATCAGTTAATTGACTTCGACAATATGTTAGCAGGTACGATCCAGTATAGTGCGCAATGTAATTTAAAAACGTACCTGTAGTCTTGGATGAGCGTAGAATTCATTCAAAAAGTCCATAAGTAAGTCAATCTTCAGTGAGCTGACACACAGGACAACGTGCTTTTCAGTTTGAGCTCTGTGTCGACTGTAGTTTCCACCCGACTTTTGTCTCTCCATCCACAAATAGGCCAGCTGTTCAAACTGTAATGCATTTTCCACAGGTGAATGAGAAACACTGGACATGAAAATAAAAATCAATGCAATACATCTATTGTTTATAAGGTATACTCAATTTATTAGATGGAACTCATTGATTATCAATTTATCAGTGTTTCCTTCAACAGCAGACTTTTCATTTGGTTGCTGCAGAGGTTGCTAAAGCCTCCCAGGGGCTTCAGTCTCTAAGGAAACATATCAATGATTTTCCTATTATCTCATAACAGGGCACTAAGAGGTTTGTGCCTCTGCTTTATGCCCAGTAGAGTATGCAGCCATGATATGTCATGTGCTGTGTCAAAGACAAAAGCCTCATTCGCATTTCTTCCACATTCTTCCATCAAGTTCAGCCCACATTTCATTCAATGGAAGACACCCTTGCCACACACACAAGGCTGCATTCTAGTTGTATAGTAGCTGGCATGTAAGGGAAGTGAAGGGTATAGGGGAGGGACGTCAGGAAGAAAGACCTGCATGATTAAATAGAATAGGAAGATCATTTTTATACCTATGTAAAGTATATTTAGATACACTGTGGCCAAAGGTTGTGGAATGGAGTATACACGTTTGCTTTGCATTTGTCATATCCTGTTTCTGACCTGCCTGCCCATGGACACCCAGAGCTCATTGTAAAAGAGTTGGAGATTGCATCTACTTATCTTTAGTCTCATCTTTTATCTCTGTTCCTTTGCAGTCTCCTTACTCACTTCCCAAAATGCTGCAAAAGTTACATATCATCTTCTGATTCTGTTTGTTTCAGTTGACCAACATATGTAATCAATTTTTATTCATTATGATGGATGGCTTTTAGATTATTTCAAGAATCAAGAGAAATCAACCCTTCACAAGTTTATTTCCTTGATCTAACATTCTATAATGAAAACTATATTATCCTATAATTAATATAGTTAAATACCCTACATGTAAAAGAAACATCTTGGAGAACTGAAATGAGATGTGAGCTATCGGTTGTGACTGGAGGAAAAAACCCTCAGTGTTTCTAGCATAACGTAAAAAAGCACTTCTGAGACAATTTTAACTAACTAACTAGATGTAAAAACAGCATGTGTTAATACATTACTGGTAGACTAATAAGCCACTCTACATTTCTTTTTAAATATGGAAGATTTGATTTTGTAAGATTTTGCACATTTCTAAAAAATTTAACATGGTTGTGTTTACCTGTATAGGTAGAACCACAAGAGCAACACAGATCATTGCAACAACAAAGAGCTTGGAGGACCATGTTTCCGGAGTGACATCGCCGAAGCCCACGGTAGAAAATGTCACAATACAGAAATAGAGAGAGTCAAAGAGATTCAGCTTCTTTCCTATTCGTTCCAGATGTTGGATTCCACAAATACTAAAGAAACAAATGTGCATTAAAATTAAAACTTCCAAATTGGGCACATTATTGCTCACCATTATTCTTTGGAAAGCTAAAGCATATTTCATAAAGCCATGTAGTAGCTGGGATCTTATATTGTACAATGTATTTTTTTCTCAGGAAAATGTTATTTTTAAGTTTTTTTCTTACACCAACCAGATATAGTCTTATTTCGATTAATAGCCAAAAATTGTAGCCAAAATACCACAAAGTATATTTGAGTAGCATGTAAAATGAATAGACTGAATTTCATGCGTGACTTAAACAAACATTTTGAATGCACATCAAGGAAACAGAGACCAGAAGTTGCTAAATCTATTCCCTGTCAAAATTTCAATAGTCTTCTTTTTTTTAACAGGAAGAGAGACATTTTACTGCATGTGTGTGTGTTTCATGTTTATATATATATACATATATATGTATGAAAGGTTTGAGGAGTTATCAATTGCCAAGTGACTCTCAAAAGGAATCCTTAAATGGATCAATCATCTTTATGAAGCTTTTGATGGTGTGCAAGCAAGGGAGCAGCAGAGAAATTGTTACAAGATGTCCCCAAAGTAGAATTGTTAAAACAGCATTAGAAATAGCACTGCTACGAGCAAAAAATAATGCAAAGTGAGATTATGAAAGATACATATATATTGTACAATATTCAAGGGAGATATGAGATTTGCAACCTAAAAATCAGTATGTCATGGAATATTATTCCGCAAGAAAAAGGAATCGAGTACTGATGCATGTTACAACATAGATAAACCACAAAGAATGCCTTCTGAGTGAAAGAAGCCTGATGTAAAAGATTACATATTGTATGATTCCATTTATATGAAATGTCCAGAAAAGAGACTGAAAGCAGATTAATGGCTACCTGGGGCTGATGTTGGGGATTGGGTAATGCAAATATTCTAAAACTAGGTGTGGTGATGATCGCAGAACTCTGTGAATATATTAAAAATGACTGAAATTTACACTTAAAATGAGTAAATTTTATGGTATGAGTGAATCTATGTTACAATATGGATAAACCACAAAAAAAGCCTGCTGAGTGAAAGAAGCCAGATGTAAAAGACTACACATTGTATGATTCCATTTATATGAAATGTCCAGAAAAGAGCCTGAAAGCAGATTAGTGGTTGCCTGCGGCTGATCGTGACAACTGGGTAATGGAAATGTTCTAAAACTAGATGTGGTGATGATTACAGAACACTGTGGATATATTAAAAATGATTGAAATTTACCCTTAAAATGAGTGAATTTTATGGTATGTAAATTATACCTCTATAAAGCTGTCAAAAACATCAGCGTATACTTTTCGACACTCATTACAACTTCTACGCACAACCAGCAGACATAATTCAATTATGATGACCACGAAGAAGTAATATCCAATGTTTAAATTCCGGAAATTCCTTTTCTTGCCTTTTAACATTGTCTCCCTATTTGTCTAAGTTACATATCATAAACATTCAACTATCTTAAATCATTTTTTTTAAGGCAGAGTATAAGCTGGTGGCTAGTTAAGTAGATGGGTGGACACACAGAGAGGAGGATAACGGCACAGAAGAGAAAGAGCACATGCTTGTCATCATTGTACTTTTGAGGCAAAAACTGTTCTCTTTTCCTTTTCTTAACTCCAGGTCTCTAGAATGGTTCAGCAAAATTGTCCTTGTTCTCTGTTTAGGAATTTTGTGTGAGCTGCCAGGTCAAATGAATTGATTCATCTCAGTTTATTTGCTCAGCTGCCCCTATGCAATATAATAGTCAAGCTAATTGTAAGACCATTCAACTGAAGGCTTAAGATAACCAAAGATAACAACTGTGATAAAAATAAACATTTCCGTGGAGTAGGTTTATTTATTTTATTTAAAATAATATACATTTGAGAATGCAAACAATTTATGCATAACTTTTCCACTTCAGTAGAAAACTGAATGAGAAGGATGATAACTAAGTTAATATATTTTTAAGGTTTCACATGTTATTTAAAGGCTTACTATATTTGCATAACTATCCATTAAAAGCCAATCTCTGTTCATAAATAAAACGTACATTTCCTAATTCAGACATATATTACCTTGACCTAAACTACTGGAAAAGTCTCCTATTGTGCTTCCTGGTCCTCAGTTTGTCATTCTTTTAATGTAACCTACTTGTAAGGACAGTATTCATTACACACACTTGGATATGTCAATCTCAGGTTCAAAGAAGCCATTGGATTCTACTGTTTAAGAACATTCTCCAATTTGTGGTATGACAGATTATTATAATAGCTGCCAATAAATCATCATCTCCCTATGTTCACGGCCCTTTGCAACGTGATATTGCTGTACCTGCCACCAAGACTGAAATCTATTTCTCCATGTCCTTGAATTTTAGCTGGCCTAATGACTTGTTTAGACCAATAGAATATTGTGGAAGTGATGCTTCCCTATCACTTACTGAAGTTAGGAGACCCTGAAGCTCTTGTTCTCACTCTCTTGGAAGTCTGAGACTACGATGCTGTGAAGCAGACCAGATCAGTCTACCGGAGGATAAGAGGCCATGTGGAAGAAAACCAAAATGTCCCAGGTGACAGACAGCATCAACTGTCGGACATGAGAGTGAGGCCATCTTGGACTCTCCAGCTCTTGGCAGGCCATCATACGACTGAAGCCAAGAGTAATCACGGGTGACACCAGCAAGAAAACTGCCCTGGTTATCAACCACAGAACTGTGAGACAGCAAACTCTTTTAAGCCACTACATTTTGGGGTGGCTTATTCAGCAATAGATATGTGGTACACAGAGAATTAAGTAGATTCCAACATCTGGATCTAATCTGTTTTTTCTTGACCTTTTCTCTCACTTATCTCCCTTCACTTACTATCTGGACTGTTTACTTATCACAATATGGAATCCTTGCCCCCTGTGTCCACTTTTGTCCAAGCTACTCCTTTCAACTGAAAGCTGTCTCTCCCCAATACCTATTATAATTCCCCTTTTTTGGAGCCCTAGCTCAAATATGACCTCCCTCATAAAGCCTTCCTTGAATCTCAACTTAGAGTGCTCCTGCTGAATTCCTAGAGCATGTATGAGTTGATGTCTTAGCTGACAAAACTTTTACAAAAATACCTATATTTAGGGTTTAATATTTCTCACCCCAACTCAACTATTATCTACCCTAATGATAGTATTTATACTTTATATTTTTATTTCCTAGAGCACTTACTACAAAGTGCATAGTAGCCACTTTAAATAACTGCTAAATGAACAAAAGAACACCTGGTTAAATGATACTCAAATAATATATGCAAACAAACTCCAGAAAATAATTCATTCATGTGTTTCAGTTTTTTATTACTGCATAACAAACTCCCCAAAACTTAGTAGCTTAAAACAATAACAATTTATCATTTCATGTGATTATGTGCATTGGGTGGGAAGCTTCTCTGGTTTTCTTGGGCTCACTCATGTGGCTGCACTGAGCTAGAAGTCTGGCTGGAATGAAAGGTTCAAGACGACCTCCCTCTTGTACGAAATGGTCCGTGTTCACTGTTGGCTGTGTGCCTTGGTTCTTCTCTACGTGACTTCTCATCCTCCAGTAGACTCCACTGGCTTCCTTACTGTCTCAGGGCAGTGATGGCAGCTGCAAGTCCTCTTAAGACTTAGCTTAATCTGCCCCATTCTATTTGCCAAGCAAGTCACAAGATCAGCCCAGAGAGAAGGGTGTGGAAATAGATTCCATCACTTTATGAGAGGAGCTACAAAGTATTGTGGCCATGTTTTCCAATCTGCCAAACCATATAAATGATAATACCAAACACTACCTATATAAATCCTAATAAATTTTGTTGAATAAACCACAGTACAAGGAATTTAATTTCCTTGATATAACTGTAGTTAAATCCATACTTACAATCATTTTTTACAATCCTTACGTAAAATGCCATTTTACTTGACCTAGGAAAATAATGTGAGCTTTTTACCTATTTATTAATATCACACTTAAGCTTAAAGACTTGGTATACCTTAGTGCTCTCTAAGTCAATATGAAAATGAAGACTCCCATATCAGCTGTTACATGTTTGGTATTATTACACAAAAACAAAAATCAGCTTTTTTTAAACGGCTAATCAAGGTGAATATACTGAATTACTTTTAGAGTTTTTCTCTGATTTTGAATAGGCCTACCAGTTGGTTTCTCTTAGGGTCTCATTAAATGAGTCACTGCTTATGTTCATGGATTACAATGTCATTATATTTTTAAAAATATTGATGTTAACATATTATCTTTTAAGTCAATAAATATTTTTGTAATAAATAAATGAATTTAGTTCCTTCCCCTCAAGAGAAATTAAGGCGGAGAATACTTAAATATCTACTGCAAGATCAGAGCAACTCTTTTAAACCGTAGGTCAAATCTTGTTCCCTCTCTGTTGATAACTCTCAATGCCCTTTTGTCATTTTCAGAATAGACTCCAAAAGCCCCTGGCCCTTCTCTGACCTCATCTACTGAGACCATCCCCTAACTCTCTGCCCTCCAGTCACACCAACCTCACTGCTATTCCTTAAATATGCCAAGCGTCAGCCAACGCCTCTCTCAACTTCTTCCGTTTATTTCTAGTAGACATCTCAAAGTTACATGCCCAAATCAAATCCTAAACTTTCTTTCTAAATTTGCTCCTCCCAAATTCTTCGACATCAGATGGTAGCAAATTCATCTTTTCTGTCAGTTAGGCCCAAATCCTGGAGTCATCCTTGACTTCTGTCTTTCTTTTTTTCACAACCCACATCCAAACCCTTAGCAAAATCCACTGTTTCTAGCCTCAAAACATAAACAGAATCTGCAATCACTACTCACCATTACTACAGCCACCACAATGATCCATGCCATTGTCTTCTCTTCCCTGCACTATAATAAAAACTTCCACTCCAATAGCCTATTGTCAACATATCAGCCAGAGTTGTCCTACAAAAACATGGGTCAGATCATGCTAT